AGATATACAAATATATACAAAGATAACAATCTTAAGAACTTATGCAATAATAGTTATTAAACTTTAGCTCAAAGTTATGCTCAGTGTTGTTTTGTTGTAGTGTTGTAACCTTGTTTCAAATCTTAAAATCTCTTTTATAGAGGCAGAAAAAAAAGTCGTTTAAATGTGACTTGCATAATAAGAGTTCATTGTTAAGAAGAAGTTCAAGATGGTCAAACACACGCCTTCCAGGAGTTGCAACCATGAGAAGTAATCAGTAGTTAATATCAGGAGTATCAGCATTAAATATCAAAGATGATTAAAATTCCACAAGCAACATATGAGACACTCAATATCCTCTATAAAAGCATGAGTCCAGATATTGAAATCTCACATTCATCTAACTCACTTTATTTTTAACAATATGAGAACTTCTTCTAAAGAAACCAAAGCTCTTGACACTTATAAAATCACTATGGTGAAGGAAACTGTCACCACCATGGATCACCAATGCCTAAGAAATGAATAAGCCTAACCTTCTGGTTCAAACACTATCAAGGAGGCACTAAAGGTGAGAAAGGCTCCAAAAAAGAAGAAGCAACTCAAGAAGAAAAAGAAGAAGGTGCCAAAGAAAATCGTTTATTTTGATTTTGATAAAGATGGGGAGGAACAAGATATAGAGTGGTAGACAACTTTCATCGCTCGACGATATAGTGATGATTTAGATAAAATAATGTACAACCACCTTCTTGTACTCTTTCTCAATATTAATGAAAGATGAATCACTTTATTTCTTTGTAATGATACCACCCATATTCCTTTTGAATTATCCATCGTCAGAGAAGTTATAGAAATAATTCCAACCAATTAAGCCCAAAGTAAAAAAGAAATTTTAATTTTACTAGAAGATAAAAAAAAATATTCCCAATAAGTATAGCTTAGAGATTAAAACACATAGGTAATAAAAATTGAAGGCATATCATATATAATACTAAACACAAATAATATCACGAAATTAAATTAGTTTGTTAAAAAATAAGACAGGTGTTAAATCCTAAGTCCAAGATTTCTTCAAAAGCTCTAGAACAATTTTTAGATCACCACTCATGATGTCTTGTTTGGCATTCATAACGAAACGCTTTGGACCATATACAAGAAAAAGATGTAAGTTTGAAACCATAGAACATAGTTGTCGGTTTTACTCCTTAATGGTATCTTAATTTTCTTTTTTATGTGGTAGTTTATTTGGAGGCCGTACATTCAATATCTGGTGCCCAATCATAGAGATAGCCAAATCTGGAGTGCTACAACTTACCTTATTTGTTTCTATACCGTTGAAATGCATCAAACGGATAGGGTAAAACGTGTCTAAGGGAACACCACGCAATGAACATGAGAAAAGCCCAAAAAGTTCATTGGCGAGAGTTAAACAAGGAGGAGGTGAGAGAATGAAGACACAGAAGACATGTGATTTTGCAGGGGGACGCTGTATTAGGTGAACGCAAGCCAAGCCAAGAGTATTTAACTTGGTTTCGTGTCATTCCTTATGTGCATATTGCTCCAAACCAATTTTTGACCGACCCACGCATGCAAGGATCATCATCAACACAACCAACTGCGGCATCAATGCATCGGGATGTGCCACCAACCTACACATCTCAATTTGGGGGCACGCATCTTCGTCAGCTCAACATACATACCAACAACAAACACCCTACAATCCACTCCCTCAACAAAACTATAACTACCACTACAACCAACAATATCAGCCCCAACCCTACCTCCGACCACCCATACAGTTCACCCCAGTTCCACCGCCCAACTTTGACCAGACCAACCCTCATTTCCAATATCAAACCTTCAACACTTCATTCTCTCAACTCACCTCCACCTTCACGCCTGATGACGTCTACTACCCAACCCTCCAACAAACCCAACCCGAAACCTATCCACAACCACCGTGACCATCACACTCATTTTAAAAAAATTTGCTGACAGAGGAGCAACTGATGCACATGCTGAATTTTAACATTGATGATCTTCTCGATGAGCAACCAAGACCCTCTTCACGGCAGACAAACCCCCTACAGCACATCACAATGAAGACATGTCTTCCGACTCATCTCAGTCACCTACATATGCAAATGAGCGTTTAGGGAGGGGACAGCGAAGGAGCACAAGGTGTGGAACTGGGGTCATCTTCGATGAAATGTATTTTTGTTTAATAAATTTTATTGTTGTAATTTAATCTTATAATGTTAAAATTATTAACATTTCTTATAATTTAATTTTATAATGTAATTATTATTAATTATTATTAATTATTATTTTATAATTAAAATTATTAAAATTATTAAAAATTATTAACATTATATTATTAGTATTAGTTATAATAAAAATTATTAACATTAACATTTTAATAATTAAAATTAAAATTATTAATAAATAAAATTCATACATTTATCATTAAATTATTAACATTAAAAAATTATTAACATTTATCATTGTTAAATATAAAAAATTATTAGCATTAAAAAATTATTAACATTTTTTTAATATAATTTTTAATAAACAAAATTAATACATTTATTATTAAATAAATAAACCAGAAAAAAAAATATTAAAAAAAACACTTCTTCACACGTGTGGACGAGCTCACTCTTGGCCCAAAAACGCAGCACATACTCGCCCACTGGATGGACGAGCCCACACTGAAAATAGGTCAGTTCCATAAATAAATTTCAAAGTATTATGGTATTTAGTGTTTCAGAATGGGGTATTTTTGAAAAAAAGTCAAAGAATGCTTTTGACAGAATTAAAATTGGCATGTCCGGGTCTTTAAGTGCCATAGTACATCAGAATCAACTGTACTACAGTACTTGATACAACATAAGAAAAATCACGACTTGAAGAAAAAGGATGACTTGTAGCATCAGCAACAGACCTGGCAGGATTGATTGTAAGATTAGGGAAGCAGTAAAGATCATTGGATTCAAGAAACCCTTCAAAAAGGACTTCCTTAGAACCCTGGCATTTAACAAGACATTTTTTAGGATGTAATTCAAATACAACATGATTATCATGAGAAAACTTAGAGACTCACAACAGATTCTTGGTGATAGCATGTACATGTAAAATATCACCAAGAAAAAGCCTATTATTGACATAAGTGGTACCAATATGTTTAATATGTAAGCTTTGGCCATTACCAACATGGGCTTGACATTTGCCTCTATATGATTTTCTATCTTGTAGACAATGTTCAAAAGGAGTAAGCACCTGAATCAACAAACCAAGCATGAGAATCAAGTTCGGTTGGTAGTGAATATTCTTGAGTGTAAGCAGTTGGTTCCCCTTTGGATTCTTTGTCACTCTGAGCCTCATTATACTTTGACTGAGTGTTGTGAGGGCTGAAGGACTCATCATACATGTTCCAGAAATTTAAAGCAACATGGCCAGGTTTCCCACAAAGATGACATGATGGCCTGCTTCCTTGAGCATATCGACCTCTGCCACGCCCTCTGCCTCTGTATGCACGACCTCTGCCACGCCCTCTGCCTCTGTATGCACGACCTCTCCCCCTGGCATTGTTGAGGTTTTCATGTGAGCTACCTACTCCATGACCAGTATGAGCCACATTAGCTGAGACTTGTGCAACAACTAGTTCTTGCTTGAATTTGTCCAGCTAAGCTTCTTGTACATAAAAGAGAGCTTCGACATCACATAGTGAGAGAGGTTCAATACTACCATACATCTGCATCATAAAGGGATTATATTCTTCTGGTAATCCATATAGGATTGAATCAATTTGATCCTGCTCAGATATTGTGTCTCCAACTGCAAGAAAAGAACTTGCAATAGCTTTGATCTTGAGCACGAATTCAGTGATTGATTGATTTCCCTTCTTGGTGGATTTCAATTCCACTCTCAGCTGACGAACCCTAGCTCGCCTTTGAGCATTACAAAAATTGTGTATTTTATCCCACACTTCGTAAGAATGTTTGCACGAAAGCACTCGCGGAAGAACTGACTCAGATGTGGTTAATAGGAGCCATATGAACAAAGCTTGGTCTTGAACAATCCAAAATTCGTACTCTTCAGAGATGTTGTTGAGCAACCGATCTTGATCTGTCTTGAACTTCACAGGAATTTGAGGATTGACGACAAATCGGTGCATCTTCTGAGTAAGAATTACGCCTTCGACCTGTTGATTCCAAAAGAGATAGTTGTTATCTTTAAGCTTTGGGCCATAGGTGTTGTTGGAGTTTGGTGAGAAGAAGTTTATTATACTAACTGCCTAACAAACCCTTAACAAAAAAGTAACAGTTCTCATGCTAGAACTGATTATCCTAAGGCATTGCCCATATTACTCTAACATATAACAATATTATTTTTATGTTATTTTATAATTATATTTTAAAATATAAAGACTGTATCTTGATTTTTTTTTAAATAAATGTATTTCATATCCGTATCAGTAGCGATACGTACCCGAACCGATGCATATAAAACTAGTTATTTAGGGATAATAATTTTATTTGAAATCTGTTTTGTTGATTAGCAAGCTAGCATGGTGTTGTTTGTGAGTCATGTGTCATGGCATAATGAACCACAGATCAGATCTCACATAAAGTAATGATTGGATGTGAAACATTACCGACCTCTACAACAGTTTTTAACCACAAACGATAAAAGCATAGATATCAGTATTATTAATTTAGATTATAAGGCAAGTTATGCAGGTAATTATATACATCACACGTTAAAGCATTAGCCAAAACTTTCTACATCACACCATTTCTAGAGATTGGTCAGTAGCCAAATGTCATGTCATTTTTCATTGGAGTTCATATATTTTAAAGTCTTCACTTCACCATTTTTTCTTTCATCATGCAACGTACGTTCTGAATTGTCTTCTTTACCATACAAGATAGTGACACACAGACATATACTTGCCTCTAAGTGGTTAAACACCATTTTCATTTTTTTTCTTTCCGCAAGAAAAACTTAGAAGGAAGAAGATGGATAAAGCTATGACTAAACTTGGAAGCTTTTGGGTCTCCAAGAAAGCCAAGGAAGAGATTTCCAACATAACCAACGACCTATCTGTTAGTTTTTTTTTTCTGTTTCTGGTTTTTTTTCCCTTCATTTCTTCAGTATTGCCTTTAAATCTTGAATGTTTTATTGTTTCTGAGCTACGTAGCACTGACATCTTTGAAAAAAGTGTGTCGTGTCAATGTTCAAAATTAACGCTGGCACATCATGTTTGATTTTTTTCTTTTCAAATTAGTATCCATATCGACGTATAATGTTGTGTTCGTGCTTCATAGTTTTCTTAGTTAATGCAAACATAATTTCATGTATAAAATACTTATATGCATTTGCATTTTCAGTCTTTCTCGAATACTGTTGAAGACAAGGCTAAATTTTTCATCAACAAACTCAAAGGTAATAATATTTTGGGAGAAAACAGGTTACAGCAACAATTTTGATGATAGTAACAATCAAAACAACATTTGACTCTTCATTCAATTCTATTTTCTTACAGGAAAAACTCAGAAAGCCTTACCGGATCTCCTACGAGAGCACAACCTTCCTCCGGGTCTGTTTCCTCGTAACATAACATGCTATGAGTTTGATGAATCAAAAGGAAAGTTGATAGTGCACTTGTCCTCTCCTTGTGAGGTATGCTTCAAGGACTCATCCATTGTGAGATATTCTAATCGTGTGAAAGGGACACTGTCAAAGGGGAAACTCGTTGTTATAGATGGAATGAAAACCAAGGTTCTTATGTGGGTTAAGGTCACAAGTGTTTATGTTGAGAGTTATAAATCTGACAAAGTATGGTTCACTACTACTGGTGTTAAGAAATCAAGGCCTAAAGATGCCTATGAAATGCCTCGTGAAGCTATTAAGGTTGAAGAATTTTGACTCCAAAGAATATAGACATACACTTATTAATGATTGAACAATTCATTAACTCAATTTGTGTGTGGAAGGTTAAAGGTGTGAAGCTATGATATATATGATAGTATGGTATACTTGGATATAATATGTACGTTACATTTTATATTGTGTAGTGACCTGTGTGTTAAAAAGAGTACTCTGTGTTTGCAAATCCAATGTTTTTCTTAAAAGGCCAAGATAAATTATATATATATATATATATATATATATATATATATATATATATATATATATATATATATATATATATATATATATATATATATATATATATATATATATATATATAAAAGGAATAAGGAATGCCACTAGTACAACACACCAGTACAGATAAACACCAAAACAGAAAACATAGCAAGCAGCAGTACACAGGCAAAGAGAAAAACCAGACAAATGATGCTAGAACAGAAAAATCCACCCCTTACAATAAGGCACAAACACAACCAATTGAAAAGAGAATAATCAGCCTGCAAATCCAATGTTGTTTCTGTACTTGTTAGTGTGTTAGCTCTAAATGTACTTTATGCTAATGATTCTCCCATGTTTATGCATTAAGAAGATGATAAAAAAAAGCTTAATATTTTTTGGTTCAGCATCATATTCTCGGAGTTTATTTTGATTTTTTAACTCAGAAGAATTTTATATTGTTACTTTAATCTTTAAAAAGTATTATGTTGATTATTTTTGTCTAATTAATGATGGAAAAATTTCAAAAATTTATCATTAAATTCATTGCTAATTTGACAAAAAAAACTAAAATAATACGTTTTAAAGAGTTAAGAAAGAATTTTTTTAACTAAAATGACCAAGACTAGCCCACCAGATATGGATGTCAAAGGCAAATTTATTAGTAATAAAATTTTTTAATAATTAAAAATAAAAAATCATTTATTAAATTATCATAATTAATTTTGTTTAAGATTTATTTTTAATCAATAATAAAAACAATATATTTCATCATATTGAAACATAGTTAATTTAAAATACTATTTTATTAAATTTAATTTTGATACAATTAACAAAACAATATATATTGTTTTTTAAGTATTATTTGTAAAATTACTATCATAATATTGGATCATATATAGTTTTTAGTGATACCTATAACATCAAATTATTTTTATTAGTTAATTATTATTTGAACTTTCATCTTATCTAAGTTCCATTTATATTTTTAAATATTTTTACTCTTAAATTGTTTTTATTTATTTTAATAAAGAGTATAATGGATATCTATTGAAAATGTAAAATAACATATTATCAAATTATTAAAGTTTTTTTAAAACTTACGTGTGATTTGGCGGAATTATGCACTTGATTGTTGAAAATGTAAAATAATTTTACATTGATGATGGATCTTTTTTTTCTCTTTAATAAATTTATTTAAATTTTTCTTTTAGAATTTAACTAAAATTTTAACTTTTTTTTTAGTTTTGATTTTTTAATTTAAGGTTTTATTTAATAAAAATAGCGTTTGGTTGATAAATTAGCTAATAGTTTATAATTTATGATTGATGGTTGATGATTAATAGTTTATAACTTATAGGTGATGACTAATGACTTATAATTGATAAATTAATTGAAGTATTTGATAAAATTAACAATTTAATTAGTTGATAAATTAAAATAACATAAAAGATATTTAATATGTAATTTATTTATTTAAATTAAAATAAATTATAAAGAATAATAGTGGATTTTAGTTAAAATAATAAGTACAAAATGAAAGAAAAAATAATAAGCTATATACGTTATTTAAAATAGCGTCTGAAAAATAAATTATAAACTAATAAAATAAGTTATAAGCTCGAGATGAAAAGATTGTTATTAAACAGATCTTTTATTATCATGTGAGCTTATAAGGCATAAGTTATAAACTATAAACTCAAAAAAGTTGTGCCAAACAAAGCCTAAATATTTGAGTTGATATTCTTTGAATAAAACAAAAAAATTTAATAAAAACACAATGAGATTAACTTTTCAACTAATAAAACAATTAAAAAAATATAATTATTTAATTAAAATTAAATAAAATAAGATTACATAAATAAAATTTTATTTTGTTCTTTTGATTTTGTAACACAAATGGACTCATGGTAGCAATTGATAAAGAAAATTAATTATAAAATTTTGTAATTTCTCTACCATTAAATAAAAAGATATACTTATTAATAGTTTAAATTTTCAATCCTTATTTAATATTATTTCTTATCAGTTTATTAGAAAGAACATAATAATAACAAAAATAATAATTATAATTAAAAGTTACTCATTGAATACTTTTCTTCCAACATGTATGCTATTGGAAGAAAAACAATTTAGAGGTGTCGATTTCGCCTTCGGCTTAGACCAAGTCTGTAAATAATTAAAATGAATTTCAAAATTAAGATATAAACAAAAATGGTATTAAAAAAAATTGATAATCCTATAAGGCTTACACTTATTTTATATAGTAAATAGAGGCAAAATGTTTTAGTATATTATTAAGAATTTTTTTAATCTATTTTTTGATACTCTTAGCTACTTAGCACATTTTTTTTTTATGTTTTCTATTTTCGGAGTTGTATCTTTGAACGCTTTTTTTTTTATGCTGGAAGTTTCCGGAGACACATCTATAAAAAAAAATTCGCAGATGCATCTCCAAAATCTTATCGGAACAATTTTTTTTAAAAAAAATTCAGTTTTGTTGGTCGTAAATGAAAATTAATTGTTGCAGATGAATATAAAATAACATACATGTGTCTCCGGAAGATTATTGTCTTGGTTGTTATCACGAAACTAGAATCGAGGGGGAAATGTCCTTATTTGCATAAATACATGTCTGCATTTTAGCATATTTCTCGCATTTGCAGGTGCATCAGAACTGTTAACCTTATCTTGTTTCTTGTGCCACTAGTGTTTTAGGATTGCAGAACAGATAACTCACCGCTACGGTACTAGAGGTAACCAGAGAAGGCTGATGGATCAAATGCAAGTGGAAATGCAAGAAATGAGGGATCGCATTGCACAGCTGATGGATATGATGCAAGGAGTTGCTACTGGGCAGGCTCAACTTCAGACTATGGTGCAACCCCTGTTGACGCGAGTGGATAGTGACGGCGTGCTGCACGAGGGGATTGGTTCTAATCCTCCTCACGTGAAACCCCTCAGGTGGGAAATTCAATACCAACTTTAGTCATCCCTACTGCTGGAGGGAGTGGCCACGGAGCTGGTGTTGGGAATAAGACAGGTTTTAATGATGGTAACGGTAATGGGAATGGCCATGGCTTCGGTTTTGATACTACCGGTGGCATTCATGGTAGTTTGGACCATACATGGAACGAGGATCGGCAAGAGGATATATTCACTCCGAGGTTTGTAAATGTTGCAGGACCTTCTGAGGCTGATAGAAGGATTCAAATGATTGAAGAAAAGATGTGATCTCTGGAGTGCCAAAATTCCATGGGACTAAATATGTCCAACCTGGGGCTGATCCCAGGATTGAGAGTGCCTCACAAGTTCAAAGTGTCCGACTTCGATAAGTACAAATGCACTACTTGCCCGAGGGTTCACCTGCGCTCGTACTATAGAAAGATGTCTGCGTACTCGGACGATGAAAAACTTCTGATGCACTTTTTCCAGGATAGCTTGTTCGGCCCCTCTTTGAAGTGGTACATGGGGTTGGAGCCCGCTAACATCCGCAGCTGGAAAGAACTAGCCGAGGCTTTTGTAAGGCACTATCAATATAATAGTGACCTTGCACCGAATAGAGTCCAGCTGCAGAATCTTTCCCAAAGAAGTAACGAGTGCTTTAAAGAGTACGCCCAAAGGTGGCGAGAGCTTGCTGCTAGAGTGCAGCCACCCATGGTAGAAAGGGAGCTAGTGGACATGTTCGTTGCTACTCTACCAGGGGTGTATTATGAAAAGCTCATAAGCAGTATGTCCGGAAGTTTCTCAGATTTGATAATTACTGGTGAAAGGGTGGAGAACGGCATCAAGCTTGGAAAGATTCAGGTAGGAGAGGTACCCTCGGCTAGAGGAGGAGGAAAAAGGATATTTTGAAACAAGAAGCGTGAAGGTGACGTCAGTTCAGTGGCAAGTTCTAGAGGAAGAGGAAGGGGTCAACCCCAGAACCAATATCGCCAACAGCAAGTGGCCAGTGTCACTGTTCTTGTGCCACAACAACAGAGACCACAACAACAACAACAAAGACAGTATCAGCCACAACAGTAAAACCAGCAAGGTTAAAGGAGGTATCCTGATAGGGTCAGGCCGAATAGAGTATTTGACACTTCACCGATGCCCTACTCTCAGGTGCTTCAGACTTTATTGCAGCTACAATTAATTCAGAAAAGGACTCTCGCTCCTTTGACAAGTGATCCCCCACCTGGCTATGATGCAAATGCACGTTGTGAATTTCACTCTGGGGCGCCAGGTCACTCTATTGACGATTGCAAGGCTTTTAAACACAAGTTGCAAGATCTCATCGACAGTAAAGCGATAAATTTTTCTCATGATGCACCTAACGTTGTGCAGAACCCTATGCCAAACCATGGGCAGGCTAGGGTTGGTGCTATTCTGGTGGAGGAGGATTTAGACTTGATAATGGACGTGAATGAATTGAAAACTCCATTGAAGTTTGTGAAGGACAAATTGCTGGGGGGAGGTGTATTCCCAGGTTGTGATGAGGATTGTGTTGATTGCTTGAGTCATCTTGAGGGATGCGTTGATCTGAGAAGGTGTATCCAAAGAATGATAGACGGGGGGACGTTACAGTTTGAGCGGACTGCAGAAAAGAAACCTGTTGAGGAAGTAATTGAGGAGAGGGATGAGGTCGCTACGATCTCGATCCCATATAAGACCATAACTATTTTAGCATCTCCTAGGCCACCAACAATCACTATTACCAAAGCAGGACCTGTGCCTTATGAAAGCACCAAAGCTATCATGTGGAACTATGGGGATGAGGTGTACTGTAATGGTAA